TGGACCTTACAAGGAATAATCTAACTGGTACAATTCCTAGTTGGATTGGTAGCCTACCTTCATTGAGCATTCTTTTGTTGAAAGCTAACCATTTTGAAGGTGAAATTCCTTTCCAGCTATGTCGTTTGAATAGATTAAAGATAATGGATCTTTCTCAAAATAATCTTTTTGGTTCTATACCTTTTTGTTTGAGAAATTTAACATTTGAATTTGAGGCATTGATTTCTCAACTTTTTGTGTGGAGTCAATACTCTGGCCCAATGATATATTCATTGTCAGACATAGGGGGGAAAAAGCTGCTAAAGGATTACTATGGCTTCATACCATATATAAATGAGTTAATTGAAGTGGAGGATTGGGTAGAGTTTACAACAAAGAGCATGTCATATGTTTACAATGGAAGCATCCTTCGTTACATGTCAGGTATTGATTTATCTCGCAACCAGCTCACAGGAAGGATCCCACTTGAAATTGGATACTTGAATGGGATACATGCACTAAACTTGTCACACAACAAGCTAATAGGGCCAATTCCCTCTACATTTTTAAACCTTAAGCAGATTGAAAGTTTGGACCTCTCCTACAACAATTTGAATGGAAGAATCCCCCCTCAGTTGACTGAGCTAAACAACCTAGCTGTGTTTTTTGTTGCACACAACAACTTATCAGGACCAATCCCTGATCAAAAAGCTCAATTTGGGACCTTTGATGAAAGCAGCTATGAAGGAAATCTTTTCCTCTGCGGAGCTCCACTGCAAATCAACTGCGCCAAAATTGAATCACCATCAGTGACCAATCTCTCCAATTATGACAGGGAAAACAATGGTTTTATTGACATGACTGTTTTTTACTGGAGCTTTGTGGTGGCTTATGTTGCAATCTTGATGGCAATCACAGCAATTCTACACATAAATCCTTATTGGAGACAGAAATGGTTTTACTTCATTGAAGTTTGCATCACTTCTTGTTACTACTTTGTTCTGGACAACTTTTGTTGGTTTTCCAAAACAATCATTTAACCTCTATAGAGTCAAGACTCAAGAGTGACTGCTAATTAGAATTGTAAGAGAAAATGAGTATTCAAGGGGTAGCCTTGGATTCAAATGATCTTAATGCAAACTTTGATATTGAAGTTTCCCTCTAATAAAGTTCATCACACTAAAACATGCATCTACATCAATCCCACCAAATGTCATTTAATGGAAAATAATGACAACATGATTTACCCAAAAAATGACTACTTTTACAAATAAAGCGCATGTACAAAATGTTGTAGTCTTTTGTTCTAAGAGAATATGGAGACATCTTGATTGGGGCAAAAGCTTAAACCAGAATCAAATTAGTTAGGGGTACAATAAGGGGCCATGGCTCAAAACCTAACATCCATCCAACCAAAACAGCGTTGGAAAAAATGGCACTCTGATCCTAAAATGTTTACAAAAAGATGAGAACACGAGAAACTTCGCTCACATTTGTGGTCTAAATGCAGCAAAGATACCAAGAGGAACCATCTCTTTCGACTACATGTCAAAAATGGTCAGCTGGATACCAAAATTTGTTACTTCCTCGATGTGCCCACCGCCCACTGTGGCCTGTTAGGACATATCTTGGGAACTTCAAAAAAGTTGAATCATTCATTCTCCATCTAAGAAACCTATCATTTGAGGAAAATCTTTCTCATAATTGATAACACATGCAATTAGTATTTAGTACGGAAAAGAGTAGAGAATAATAATCAGAGTAATGCTTCAGAACTTCCATGCCTCAGTTCACCATGCCCAGCCATACAAGAACAGACGATGGTTATCTAAGCCTTCCTATAGGTGCATATAGAACATTTAACTCTTGAACTCCATTGGACCACAGAAACCAGCATGTTTATGTACTTCTGCACATCATCTGCCAGAAGACATGGCTTGCTCAATCCTCCTAATTACAATACTAAGACTACCACCACTTTCCAAAGCTCTGACAGCAGCTCGATGAGCATGCCTGTGCCATTTAAGCACGTTGAAAGACTGTAGAACAGACCACCTAGCTTGATTTGAAATCTTCTCAAGGTAATGAAAACCAGTAATTACTATCTTTTCTCTCTCTAGGTGAGAATAATTAGTACCTATTAATGGAGTAAAGGCATGAAAATAGATAGTTGCAGATTTACTGAGCCACAGACAATGGCAGTTGCAGAAGGACACAGATGCTGTGAAACATGTTTTCATCATCTCCACCCTCAGCCTCACCATAAACCAGAGCTTCAGCAGCAATACCAGCAAAAAGGACCATGCAGTATATAATCATGCATCACTATAATCAACACTAGTAGAAACATATTCCTGATATGCATTTTTGCTAATAACGTATTTACTAACAGCCTTAAGAGAGAAGAACATGCAATGCACTTCTGCAGATTGCCTAGAAGAATAGTTTATTTTAACTCCTGTTTAGACAGATTTATTCCACTTGAAATATCAGTGATCATAATTAGAAACTAATGGAATTATAGACCTTATGACCTGATGCAGCTCAAGTAAAGAACAAATAGAGTGAGAGTAATAGAAGAAGATGTTGAAAAAGAGATTGAAAAAAAGGAAGACCTAGAGGGAACGAGAATAAGAAACAAGAATTTAGGTCAGGGAAACTTTCTTAGAGTTTGTAGTCAGTATATCTGAAAACTGACCGTCGAAGACATGATGAATAACAATCTGTAACTCTACCAATTTTTCAAATAGTAAATGAAATAAATATAATTTGGATGCTAAACTTGCATTTAAGGCAAGAATATCTAAATCTTTAGGCAGCATCAAACATCAGAGACACCACCTAGTGACACCAACCTGTCAAAGGTAGAGCCACTCAATCGTCCTTCAGCCAGCTCATTACTCATTTTCACATCCCAAAACTGAGTTCCAGCCAGTAGACAAATGCTGGGTTTGGGCCTTTATAACTTCCATAAACTAAAGTTGTCAACAAGAGATTATATTGCTTAAGAATCAAACAGCATACATCATGCAGTTTGATTTACTTTACAAAAATACTTAGAGAAAAATGTAATTAAAAAAAATTCATAATCACTACCTGCCCTTGGATGCCCATCTGCATTGCAGCAATTGGATCTAAAATCACTCCATGAATTGGGCAACCCATAAGTTATGGGTTGCACTGCAAATAAATTAGCAAAAGAACATTAGTTATGCTCGTAAGCCAATGTCATATGCCAAGATCATTGTCAAAGAACCAGAAGGCACCAAAGAGAACATCAGCCTTTTTGCCACTGCTAAACATGCAGAAATGACCATGCAAAAAGTGTCCAAATGCAGGGATTCATATTTCATATTTTTTACTAAAAAAAAACCATAATAACATTAAAGTGAACAACGCAAGTATTACATACCAACAAGGGGGTGGCCTGCTTCATGAACTAGAATCCGGTGCCTATACAGAGGCCAGTAACTTGAGATTAAAGCTAAACATGTGCCCCCAAGGAAGATAGAGTCCAAAAAGGCTAGGCGCAGTATGGCAGCAAGGTTAGGCCTGATATCAATCCCTTGAAAAAGCAGATAAGAGACTCAACCCAGAAGGGCAACCAATGCAATGCTTGAGGTTCCTGAAGAACCCCACTTTTTTGGAGAAAGGTTGAAAACTGAAAGAGGAAAAGGTAATCCATAACTATTTCAATGAAATTTTACTTTTATTTTCTTAGATGAAAACAAAATACTAGAATACCACCCACCATAAAACAACCCAATCATAATAGAACGATATACATTATTATAATCCCAATCATCTAAAACCATGCATTCTGCTGAAGCTGCAAAGATTTCTACATGCAAACTAGTTCAAATCAAGATGATGCAACAACTTGAATAACTTAGACAAATTCATAAAAATTAAAATAAAGATAACATCTAAACCAGTAGAGGACTTCAAGACACCTGGTGTATACTCACTAAAATTTAAATTAAAAAAATTAAAAATTAAAACCATCATATTATAAATTGAGTGGCTGATGAAAGGCCGACCATAGATTTTAGCCCACTGATTAGTGCCTCCACTGATTAGTCATTTTCACGTATTGATTGTCATATTTAGGATCGATCTTTCATTTTTTTTAAACCACACATATAAAATTTTGAGATTAACATTTAAAATTTATATTATTAAATAAATTTTTTAATATGTATTTT